ACACGCGCCCAGGTAGGGGCTGCGCAGCAGGGCTGGGACACCAGGGCGGCTGCGCACAGGGGCTGGTGCCGGCGGGCCTGGGGGCTGCAGCACGGGGAGCCCTCCCTGCCCCGGCGCTTGGGCTGGTCTCTGTGTTCGGGGTGCCCCAGCGAGGGCATGTCGGTGGGGGGTGGGCTGCAGCGCTGCCCCCCGGCCCTGAGGGTCCTGAGCCAGGACACGATGCCTGACTCACGCATCTGCCCTGTGGGACCCCTCAATATGGGGTACCAGTGCTCTGCTTGGCAGTGGGGACCCCTCTCTCTATGGCGGTCGGTGCCCTGCCTGGCCCTGGGACCCCCATGGTCATGGTCATGGGGGTCAGTGTCCTGCCTGGCCATGGGACCCCCATGGTCATGGTGATGGAGGAGTGGTGCCCTGCCTGGCAATAGAACCCGCATGGTCATGGTGATGGGGATTGGTGTCCTGCCTGGCTATGAGACCCCCATGGCATGATGAAGGGGGTCGGTGCCCTGCCTGGCCATGGGATCCCCATGGTCATGGTGATGGAGGAGTGGTGCCCTGCCTGGCAATAGAACCCGCATGGTCATGGTGATGGGGATTGGTGTCCTGCCTGGCTATGAGACCCCCATGGTCATGGTGGTGAGGGTTGGTGTCCTGCGTGGCCATGGGACCCCCATGGTCATGGTGATGGCGGGTGGTGCCTTGCCTGGTCATGGGACCCCCATGGTCATGGTGATGGGGGGGTGATGCCTTGCCTGGCCATGGGACTCCTGGTCATGGCAGTGGGGGTTGCTGCCCTGCCTGGCCATGGGATCCCCATGGTCATGGTGATGGAGGAGTGGTGCCCTGCCTGGTGTGGAGGACCCCACCTTACTGGGCAATGGGGCAGGTGCCTGGTCCTGGGGGGCAGGGAGGCTCCATGGTGCCTGTAGGGTGGCTGTGCCTTGCAGGGGGCCCTCACCAGCCCTCCTCACCCCATCCAGACTCATTTTGGACCCGAAACTCCTTCGAGACGGACTCAGACCTGCCTGCGGGATGGATGCGGGTGCAGGACACCTCGGGCACCTATTACTGGCACATCCCTACGGGCACCACGCAGTGGGAGCCGCCTTCGGGGCTGGCCCGGGGCTCAGCACACAGCTCCCAAAGCAACACCCCGTCCGAGGAGCAGCCGGTGAGCCCTGGGGTGCAGGGGGGACGGGGTGCATCGCTTTGCTGTGCATTCACTGAACCAGCACCACTCTCTCCGCAGCTCGCCTGGACGGGCTTCGCCCCGGCTGAGCGCTTTGGCGACGGGGATTTCTGGAAGGTAAGAGGCAGCTGCAGGTTGAGGGTGGCTGCCTTGCTGTGCCCAGCTCCTGCCAGCCCCCTCTTCTCTTCCCAGGGCACAGCAGGGGAAGAAGCAACTGATGAGCCTGGAGCACAGGATGCGGAGCCACCAGCCACGGGACTGGCCTG